ACCCTAGTTTCCTGCCTATTCCCCATAATCCAGATTCTCAGACATTTTTAATCAGTAAATTTCAGGCTTGAATATGCTTAATGACCTAGCCTCAGCAGTAAAGATAAAATTCCTCAGATCTGTTTTTGGACATCTGTAGGTTGCAGGATGTGGATTGGTAGATCCACGATGCGATTAGGAGAGAATTCTAGGATTTTGACCCACTGACATTCAAGGAACCGTGATATATTTCCAAGTCAGGATGGTCTGTGGCTTGGAGGGGATCTTACATGTGGTGGTCTTCCTATATATCTACTGCCTTTGTCCTTCTAGATGGTAGCGAGCATTGGTTTTGGAAGTTGCTGTTCAAAGAGGGATTTGATGAATTTCTGCTGTGCATCTTGTACTGCTACTGTGCAAAGTTGATGGAGGGAGTAAATGTTTGTGCATATGGTGCCAACCAAATGGGCTACTCTGCCCTGGTTCATATCAAGCTTCTCGTATGTTATTGGAGCTGCAGTCATAGGCGCAAGTAGAGAGTACTCCATTGCACTCGTGACTTGCATTATAGATCGTGAACAGATTTTGGGGATTCTCATAGAATAGAATCATAGAATCCCTACAGTGTGGAAACAGGCCCTTCGGCCCCATGAGTCCATACCGCACCTCAGAGCATCCCACCCAGACCCATACCCCATAACCCACCTAATTACACATCCCTGAACACTATGGGCAATTTAGCATGGCCAATCCACCTAGTCCGCACATCTTTGGACTGTGGGAGGAAACCGGAGCACCCGGAGGAAACCCACGCAGACACGGGGAGAATGTGCAAGCTCCATACAGACAGTCACCCGAGGGTAGAATCGAACCCGGGTTCCTGGTGCTGTGAGGCAGTATTGCTAACCACTGAGCCACCGTGCCGCCAATTCTGGAAGGCAGCTACTCACTGCAGGATTCCTAGCCTCTGACTGTTCTTGTTGCCACAGTATTTATATGGCTAGTTCAGTTTCTGGTTGATTGTAAACCCCAGAATGCTGTCAATGGAGGATTCAGTGATGCTATTGCCATTTGAATTTCAAGGAGCAATGGTCAGGTTGTCTTTACTAGGCATTTGTGTGGAGCGAATGTTACTTGCCACTTTTCAGCACAAATTAAACCAGAACCAAGATGATCTCAAACTATATCTTGGATTTATTCACCTGCAGACTTAGTTTCCCCTCTAATGTCGCAGTACAGAAGGACACAGTTGTTGCCTTCACTTCTGGCCTAAGTGCCTGAATAAGAAAAGTAATTTGTGGTGTGTCAAATCAGCTTTGAAACTGGGATCTTCACCATTTATGAGCATTCTGTGTAAAATAATGGTATTTGGACAGCAAATTTCACTGCATACATAAAACATAAATGTAAAACATAAACATAACATAGCTTAATATGTCATAAGGATGACCCATACCAAAGTATGTACTCAAAAGCACAGAACCAGATCATTTGACATAACTATTCCAAACTGGGGTTTTGCTCCACACATTCCTCCTTCTACCTTATTTTATCTACCCTCTCAGCATATTGTTTAATTCATTTTTCTGGCATAAATTGTGATTGTGATCTGGAATGTATTTCCTGAAAGGGGTTGTGGAAGTGGATTCAATAGTAACTTTCAGAAGGGCTTTTGGATTTGAAAGGCACAGAGCATGTAGACATTGCCATTAAGTGGGTAGCTCCAATAGAGAGCCAGCACAGGCATGAAAGACTGTCTTCAATCTGTGCTGTATCATTCCGTGTGGTGCGAAGGCAGGACCTTCTTGTGACATATATAGGGATAGCAGGAAAAAAATTAATGTAAAACATTTTCAAATTGAGCACTGATCAGTTAGAGGTGGTGATGTAGTGGTAATGTCACTGAGATGTTACATTAAGAGGCCCAAGTTAATGCCCTGTGAATGTAGATTTAAGATCCTACCATGGCAGATGGTGGAATCCAAATTTAATTAATAAATCTGGAATTGTAATGCTGATGTCAGTGTAATGCCCTAATGGTTACTATCAATGGTTGTAAAAACCCATCTGGTTCACAATTGATCTTTAGAGAACGAAATCTGTCCTGATCAACATGTAACTCCAGACCCATAACATTGTGGTTGATTTTTGATTGGCCTCTGTAGCCTAGCAAGCTCTTCAGTTCAAGGACCACAACAGATGGGCAACAAATGTTGGCTGTACCATCGCCCACATCCCATGAAAGCACAAAGGGAAAGAAAAATCATTACCTAAGCCAGTAATAAGATTTATAAACCAACTGTAAATCCAGTTTGGTTTACGTTTGAAAAAAATAGCAATTAATTTTTATGCCAATCTTATAATTTGTAAGAGTTTGTATTTTGATTCCCACCAGTTGTAACTAGGAAACGGTGGTATATCTGCTGAAAGTGGTTTGGGGTTGGTTTGTAGTATAGTGATGGTGGTAAAAGAATAAACAATAGATGGAGATGGAGTCCAGAGAGAGAAAACAGGTTGGGCAGACTAATAGGGGCCATTGGTGGGTGCAAATATGTCAGCTTTGATGAAAGCATGTGAACGTGGTGAGGAATGAAAGAAGGTGCTCAGGCCCTAAAACTATTGAGATCGATATCAAGTCTTGAAGGCTGTAGGGTCTCCAAGTGGAAAACAAGATGCTGTGCTTCTGGCTTGTGCCGAGCTTCGCTAGAGCACTGCAGCAGACCTGAGACAGAAATGTTGGCCAGGCAACAGAGTGGTGTGTTGAAGTGGCAGACACCTAGAAGCTTGGTGTCAATTTTGTGGACAGAACGTAGGACTTCTGTGGAGCGGTTGCCCAGTCTACGTTTTCATCTTCCCGATGTAGAGGAGACCACATTGTGAGCAGTGAATACAGTAGACTAGATTGAGTGAAGTGCAGGTAAATAGCTGCTTTACCTAGAAGGTGTATCTGAGGCCTTGGAGGTAGGAGGGAGGAAGTAAAAGGGCAAGTGTTAAAAGATGATGTTGGGAGTAGAGGAGAAGTGAACCAGGGTGCCCCGAAGTGAATGGTCCCTGCAGAACACTGACAAGGGAGGAAAGGAGAATATGTGTCAGGTGGTGACATTCTGCTGGAGGTAGCAGGAATGGTGGTTTATGATTGTTTGGATGTGGATGCTGATGGAACGAAAAGTGAGGACCAGGGGGACCCAATTGCTGTTGTGGGAAGGTAGAGAAAGGGTGAGGTTAGAAGTGCAGGAACTGGGTCGGTCATAACGGAGGACCCTGTCAACCGTGGTGGTTGGAAATCTTCAACTGAGGGAAAAGGTGGACATTTCTGAGGCCTTCCTGCATAAGGTAGCATTATCAAAACAGATGTAATGGAGAGAGAGAAGCTATGGAATGAAGTCTTTACAGGAAGCGGGATGAGAGGATGTATCATCTAAGTCACTGTGGGAGTTGGTGGGTTTGTAGTGGATGGCCAGCCGACCCCAGAAACGGAAGCAGATGTTGAGGAAGAGAGGGAGGGAAGAGTCAGAGATGGACCAGATGAATGTGAGAACAGGGTGGAAATTGGAAGTGAAATTAATCGTTTTTCCAATTCTGGGTGAAAGAAGGATACAGCACCAATGTTGTCATTGATGTACTGGAGAAAGAGTTGTATCTGGATATGACTTTACCAATGACTGTAGGTTCAGTAAGCTGCATCGCTTGGGATAAATCTTAACTTCAGTAAACTGCTAGTAATTTTACATTTTATTTAATATTTCATTACAAACTTTGGGTTTAATATAAATCTTTTAAAGCTTGGTTGCTTCCTCGAGCAAATAATTGAAATAATTTGAGATCATTTCATCAGTTGTAGAAATTTCAATTTGTGCTCCCAGTGATTTCACGAACAAAGAATCAGAATCCAAAGTACAGTCCCTTCTCTGTTCATGACTGTCATCTCATCCATGGTTCAAACAAAAGCAAAATATTGTGGATGCTGGAAATCTGAGACAAACACAGAATGCTGGAGAAGCTCAGCAGGTCTGACAGCATCTATGGTGAGAGGAACAGAATGAACATTTTGAGTCCAGAATCACTCTTTAGAGCTGAGAGTAGCTCAGAAAGAGTTCTTCAGTTCTGAAAAAGTCATACTGGACTTGAAACTTTAATTATGTTTCTCTGTCCACGGATACCGCCAGATCTACTGAGTTTCTCCAGCATTCTGTGTTTGTGTCATTCATGACTCTCTTGGTAGCTCTTGCCATTGAGTCAGAAGATTCAGAGTTCAAGCGCTTTTCTAGGACTTGAGCATAAAAAGCACAGCCACCGTGCTAGTGCAGTATTGAAGAAGTGCTACAATGTTGGAGGTGTCTTTGAGGTGAATTGTTAAACTGAGGCTTAGTCTGCCCTGGGGTCAGCGTAAAAGTCTCTTTGGCACTACTTTGAAGGAGAGCGGGTTGAGTTATTCCTGGTGGCTTGGACCCTATTTATATCTCAATCAAAAATACATTAATGGATCATTATCATATTGCTATTGTTCGGAGTATTTGCTATGTGCAAGTTGACTATGTTTCCTGTGACTACGTTTCAAAAGTATTTGATTGGCTTCAAAGTGCTTTGGAACATCCTCTTTGTTACAAATGCTTATAAATGCATGTCTTTTTCACTACAGCAATTGGGTTTCCTGTTGCTGGCCAGTGATCTCTGCTGAAAAATGTGTGTTGGTAGCAGCAGGATTGAATTTTGTTGACTATCCTATAAAACCTAGCTGTTCAAACTCTCTCATAAGGAAGGTATTTAAAGGTAGTTGTGGAACAGTATCCAAGCACCTACAGGACAGGGACATTAGAATAACTCTGAAGGGAGTTTAAATGAGGTGCAGTAAGATTTGAACTTCAAGATACTTTTGAAAATGAAAATTTTCTCATTTGAATCAATTATTTATCTCTTACAAATATTGGAGAATTAACAACTTCTTACCTGAATAATTAAGTAACGTAGTCCTGCAATTGCTCTGCACATTAATGTTAATGTTTTGCTACTTTTTTTTTTAGTGCTAAACGAACATGTAACTATGAAAGTGCGATTCCAAATCCAAAGCAACCAAAATTAGACGAAGGAATAACTTTTGCCAGCTCTGTAAATGGGGAAACTGTTAATGATACAACATTTGATGACGATGTCATTATTGTTGATGAGAAAAGTACACCAAGGCCTAGTTTAACTTTTGACTTGTCAAAAGTAAAACATGAGCACAGAGCAAGTACAGATACAACTGACTTTTGCAATGATGTGCTGCTCAGTAATTGTGAAGAACGAGTTAAAGGTACGCAGACTGAGAACCCAGCAATTTCTGTCAAGGAGGAGGGCAATGGATCTGAAAAGCACAACCTCTCCAGTGGCGCCAGTGATCTGAAAGAACAAGTTCAGCAGTCACGGGGTGACGAGCTTCAGTGTTTGGCAAATAACGAGGGAAGCATAGCTCAAACCAGCGAAGAACAAAACATCCAAAATGTTGTTCTGAAAGCCATGACTGACGAGAGGGATCACTACAAGGCAAAATGTGAACAGATAGAGAAAGAACTGGAAAATGTTCAAAAAAAGCTTTTGGAAAAAAGTGAGTGCCATGTCAAAAAAGAGTGCTGCCATCAGTGGACACAGTCTGAATTTATTATTGGGGACCATGCAGAGAGTATGGACGATTTCTGCAAACTCAGTAATGAAGAAAAGGCAACCCAATATGAATCGGCATTAAAGGAAATGGAAAAGTTAAAGAGACAGTGCCAAACACTGGAGAATTTAAAGTTTGAATGTTTCACTTGTAATCTGAAAGAAAATGATAATTTGGTAAAAAAGGAGGATGACGAGCTAATTCTGCAGCTGGACAGTATGTTTCGACAATTAGACAGCTGCAAGTCTGAGCGAGATCAGCATAAAGAGAAAGTAAGTATCTAAAACATACAAACAGGCAAATAGGTTTTCAAATTTTGACTTGAATGTGCCAGGCATTACTCAGCTAGTGGAGCATTTCCCCTTGGTTCCCACTGCGTTCAGTTTTGTTAGGGCGCTTTGATGTCGTCCTCTGTCAAATGTGCCTTGATGTTTAGGTCATTCACTCTCCCTTCATTGTTGGAATTCCAGTCTTTTGTTCTTGCTGTGCTCTAGTGATGATTGGAGTTGTGTGGTCCTGGTGGAACCCAACCTGAGCATTAGTGAGCAGCTGTTGTTAAATAATTGTCATTTGATAGCAACATTGACACCTTTCACCATCTCTCAACTTAGAGCTGATTGTCACAATAATTGACCAAATTGGATTTATCCCATTTCTAGTAAGCAGGACGTACCTGCCAATTTTCCATGCTGCCAGGTAAGATGTCAATATTGTAGTTCAACTGGAACAACATAGTGAGGATCAGCTACTTCTTGGAGCATAAGTCTCCAGCGCTTGTCACGATGTTGTCAGGACACGTAGCCTTTTCGGTGTCCAGTGTTTTATCAATCCTATCTCTTGATGTTTTAATCTTAAAAAGAGCTGATTGCAGAATGGTTACAGCAGTATTCTTTTCCTTGAGATTTTAGATTTAAACATGTGACGTGCTAGGAGGATTTGATGAATCAAGTTCATCGACGAGCTTGTTCTTGTTCATTGCCTTGTTTTTGCGCATTCGTTTTCTTCTGGTCTCAAGTTTGAATGTCCTAAAAGCAGTTCTTTTTTGAATGACAGTCCAAAACATACATACTCAGCACCACCATTCATCTGGGAATCCCATTTTGTATTCACATAGTACTGACCTTGGTTGAAATGACATTTCATTCTACTGCATCAGTTTGTGTTCAGGCTGACAGTCCTAGCAGTTAAATCAGTTCCATTTGTGTCAGTAAGTAAATGCACATACTCCAGGCTGCTATGCTGAAACTGGAACTGTGGGTGCTTTACTATTGGGCCTTTAATTGTTGCTATAATTGAAATGCAAACTATTTTAATTGTAATCATAATATCCTGTTCAGAACAGTATAATAAATATCAGTGAGACTGTAACTGGTGGGGAAATGGAAATAGTTCATTCTTCGCAAAGTCAGGTTGATTGGGTACAGCACAGGTCTCTATTCTGTACCCTATTCCATTACACTGTGTCTGTAAATAATTGAGGCAGATACTGGTTTTAATAAGCTAAATATTCATTTCAACTATTTTGTGACAACCTGCATCTTCTTACAATTTCTCTTTAGGGTTTCTTATCATTTTATTTTAGCTTTTATGTTTCCAGACTCCTTTCTATAACTGCATTGTTTCAATTCCGATGGCTGGGAAAGTTAAGTACATGGATCTCCATGCCTGGTTTCACTACTTCTTTTCCTTTTATGTAAGTCTCAGAATATTAGGACTTGTCCACTACAGTGCATATGCAGGCTTTCATAGCTTGTTCCTGCTATAGCATATTTTTACAATAGGAGGCAACCTTTACAAAAGTGAATTATTTCTCTCTCCCCTCCCTTACCTACAAAGGCTGAACGATTGCAAAGCGAAAATGATACAATCAAGCTCAACTTGGCAAATCTTTGTAAAGAAGTGGAACGTTTAAAGCATGAAGCCACTGAAGCACAACAGAGTAACCTTCCAGATGGCATTAGGTAAAACATTAAGTTTTGAGATTTTATTGGGTCAAGAAAAATAAAATTTATGTTTGGAAACAGCGTCAAACTCAGGTTAGAAAAATCCTTGCAGAATTTTCAATAGGAATAGTGTGATATCTGTTGGGGTTTATGTGGTTGAAAATGGTTGCTGAAATATAATGGAACAGGGCTAGAGGGAATTGAAGATGGGGATCTGATGGTGAATTATGATGACTCAGTAAAGCTTAACAGGGATATATAAGATTGAAGCACAGTGCTTCGTAGCAAGTTAGTGGAATTATGAATCAACTCTAGGAAGGCAGGGTTGGGACAATACACTTAAACTTGATCTTGGACAATGAATTTACTATTTAATAGACAGCCTGACTTTAATAAGAAATGATGTTTTGTGGACACAAAACATTTATTGATATTGCAATCACCCATTTTACATGAAGATGTAAAATAAGTCTTGTACAGTTAAAAGTAGGGCCTTGGGTAGTGTTGCAGAGCAGAGAGACCTAGGGGTTCAAGTACATAATTCTTTGAAGTTTGCATCCCATATAGATAGGGTGGTTAAGAAGATGTTTAGCATGCTTGCCTTCATCGCTCAGACCTTCGAGTATAGGATTTGGGACATTATGTTTGGGTTGTACAGGATATTGGTGAGGCCCCTTCTGGGGTACTGTGTCCAGTTCTGGTTTCCCTGTTATAGGAAGGATGTTATTAATCTGGAAAGGGTTCAGAAGAGATTTATCAGAATTTTGATAGGAATGGTGGGTTTGAGTTATAAGGAGAGGCTGGGACTTTTTCACCAGAGCACAGGAGGTTGAGAGATGACATCATTGAGGTTTATAAAATAATGAAGGGTATAGATAAGGTGAGTGGCAGGTGTCTTTTCCCTAGGATGTGGGATTTCAAGACTAAAGGGCATATTTTCTAGGTGAGAGGAGAAAGAGTTGAAAAAGACATGAGGGGCCGTTATTTTACACAGAAACTGGTTCGTGTGTGGAATGAACTTTCAGAGAAGTGGCGACAGTTACAACATTTAAAAAGACATTTGGATAAATACATGAATAAGAAATGTTTGGAGGGATATGGGCCAAGCACAGGCAAGGTGGGTCTGGTTTAGTTTGGGTTCATGGTCGGCATGGACTGGCTGGACTGAATGGTCTGTTTCTGAGCTGTATGTCTCTATGACTCTGAGATTGGAATCATTTTCAATCTTCAATTCCTATGAAAACAGTGGTTCTGATTTCAGTCATGGAAATGTTGAAGAATTTTTACCTGCTTGAGATAGAGTTTTGTTTAACAAAACACTAGGACGTTTGCAAAATAGTTTCCAAAACTGGTTTTCAAACTGATAATTAAATAACATTAAGAAATTTAGTGCTTGGACTGGATAGTAAATTCTGTTAAAAAAAAAACTTTCCAAGAGTATTATCTGAATGCACAAGGAATAAAAAATGTTGAATTTTGACAGCTTTCTTGGGCTGTTATATTGAGGATGCATTTGACATGTTATTTTCAGCTGAACCTTGGTCCTGGGTTGGCAGATATGAGTAATGCCACGTTGTGGTTTGCAAACTGCATCCATGAGCTCTGTCAGTCTTCGCACAGGGTTTTTGTAAATTTTGGGAGGAGTCTGGCGGAGGGCATAGTTTGTGACCTGAGGTTGGGTTTGAGATTACTTTCAGGCCAGAAGACTTCAGAAAAGTGGAAGAATGTTCCTCCTTACCTGTGCACAAAAGGGATCCAGCTGTTGCAACAGTAATGGAAAGGCCTGTCACCAATCTGGCAAATCCCAAGGTTGACACAAGATCTGTGACCCTCTTTTTTTTTTTTGATTCATTCATGACATGGACATTGCTGACTGGGCCAGCATTTATTGTCTGTCCCTAGCTGCTCTTGAGAAAGTGGTGGTGAGCTGGCTTCTTGAACCATTGCAGTCCACCTGCTGTAAGTTGACTGATAATGCCCTTGGAAGGGAATTCTAGGATTTTGACCCAGCGACAATGAAGCAATGCTGATACATTTTCAAGTCAGGGTTGTGAGTATCTTGGAGGGGAACATGCAAGTGATGCTAATCCCAAGTATCTGCTGCCCTTGTTCTTCTGGATGGTAGTGATAGGTTAGGAAGGTGCTGTCTAAGGAACTTTGAATTTCTGCAGTTCATCTCGTGGATAGTACACACTGCTGGCACTGAACATCAGTAGTGGAGGGAGTGGATTTTTGTGGATGCGTGTGGTCGAGCCGGCTGCTTTGTCCTGGATGGTGTCAATCTTCCTGAATATTGTTGGAACTGCACCCATCCAGAATGAGTTGTGCTGCACATCCAACAAAACTATTAAAACAAAATTATTGGTGATCCAGTGGGTGCATCTGTGTGCTGCAGTTCTGAAATCCTACAAGATCATATGTGCGGTTTTGGAAAAAGTTCATTGCAAAGAAATTGAAGCTCATCTTCATGTTCAAGACCACTGCGATTGCCTGCCTCTTGGTCTCCCCTTAGCTAGAGGCTTTCAATCGTAAGATTGTAAAGCTAGACAAGAACAGATGCATCCTCTTCTGACTGCCCCTCAGTCCTAACAAGCTAACTTACCCTGTTCGTATATAGCCTGTCCCATTGATGGTTTTTCAGCATTCTGCACATTCTGCAATTAGGGATGCGCAGGAAATTTTGGTGTAGCCAGAGCCACCTACATCCCATGAGTGATCAGAAGAAAAATATCTCTGCATCATGGTGCTTCCCTGCTTTGGAACTGTTCAGGTGGTGAGTGAGCCATTTCAGGCTGCTGCTGCTCCACCTTTTCCTATATGTGACGTACAATGGGAGCAGTCAAATCCCATCTATGTTGCAATTATTAAAAGCGCTTTTCTGAATACTCAGGAATCTGTGATTCAAAGTCCAGGGACTCAGTTTTGCTGGTGTGTGTATACATATGTTATAGCTCTGTCTTTCAGGGAATGTGCCTGCTACTACCCCTTTCTGCCAGGCACTATGTTTGCTTGCAGACTGTGTGGTACCCCCAAGACTTGCAGCAAAACAGTGAGGCAAGTTTTTGCGTCCTTTTTCCTCGGCACCTCTTTCTGGCGTGCAGAATTTCTCCATAGCTTGATGATATTGTTCACAAAAGTTTGATGGATCCAAAAACTATGCAAGTGCCGCTGGAAAGGAGGGTTTAGTAATTCTTATCTACCTCTTCTAAACTGGGCAGTCCAATATCACTGAAAGCTGGAAGTATACCTGACCTACAAAATGTTGACAAAGCTGACGCAGGCTCAGGAATTCACAGTTTTTAAGAGATTTTGTTCACATTCCTGTAGGCATTTCCTCTGGAGGGAAAAATAACAAAATGTAGCCATTTCCCCCAATTAAACATGCCTTTCAATGTTGACAAAAGTTAAGCGTAGCCCATTGTGTGCATTGATTGTGGAAATAATTTTTTGTAAGTTTGAATTGTTTCTTTTCAAACTAAAAATAGAGATTTTTTCATATTAATGAATTTTAATGTTTTAATCTTTTTAGGATTGCTGGTGATTTTCTGAAGCTACTGTAAAATCTGTTCTGGTGTATTTGAGTTATACCACTTTTGCCATTATGGAACACTAAGATCATTTTGAAAAATAATGATCCCTAAAGGGTTTTACTGTAGCATCCTTCAGATAAGTACTGGAACATATCTTTTGCAAGAGTCTGTGGGTGGGGAGAAATGTAAGGACAACTTTACATTCCATCTGACTGAAATGAACTAATCAACAATATCACAATTGTTAACGTGAATATTTCATGTCTTACAGTGTGAAACTCAGGTCTCTGCGGATCGGTATCGCACAGATTCTGGCTAAAATTGTACCTGAGCTGGACTTAGCACAAATAAACTATGAAAGTGAAGTTGTTGATGAGATTTTGGAACAGGTGTTATCTGCCAATGAATCATGAAGGCCATCGCCTGTTTTGTTACATGGATATCTTATGAAAACATCAATGGACTGTGTAACTATGTCAGTAGACTTTTGATAAAACCAGAGCTTACAAGTGAGCGAATTATGCACTTCTGTGATCACAATGGTTTCTGATTTTTTTTTTCAGTAGACCAAAAGTATTGATTTCTTAAATTGCTGGTCAGGTTACTTCAGCAATGAATTGCAGGCTGGCTGAGCGTAATGGGGTAGGTCCTTTAACATAAACAGCTCAAATTGGTAATGTTAATTTCTTGACCTGTCTTGTGCAAAGACGATGTTCTCTTTTGTGGTATTATATCAAGACTTTTTGCTTATGCCATCTGTGGCTTATCTCAATTGCTCATCTTTCTTAATCAATAGGGATCAGTAGAAGGGGAGGCTATTATGTTTTTTTTATCAACTAGGGATCATTTCCCCTTTTTTAAAAGAGATTTTGTTCATGTATCCATAGGCATTTGTCATGTGCACATTTTGTTGGTTCTTGGATTAAATAATGGTGCTGTAAAGCTTTATGTAATTTCATATTAATTTCATTATAAATCTTTCACAATCTAATGACATGCACTTTTCACCTTCTTTCTGAATAGTAATTTAGATTGCAGAAACCTAGCATTACTTTATTTCCCTTTTAACCTACAAACACTATGGCAGAAATAGGGTTCTGCAGTCTGCCTCAATGTTTGTAGGTTAAGATCAGAAAACCTGGTTTGGGTGGTCTTTGTGAGTGCAGATCTTGGTGAGACTGGATCATTGTTTACTATGATGGCTATTATGACATTTGCTGTTCAGGCAAGTGGGTGTGTAAACCCCCATTTGACAGAGGTGCCAGAGGCCAACGCTGGTGTGTGTGGAATCTAGTACCCATCAAGGAATCAACACTGCCAAGAAATTATAAATGAGAGAAAAACATATGTGCAAGATTTCATCTAACATCGTTTGAAAGAAAATCCAGCATCACTTCATTGTTTGTGGTAAGGTATCACTGGTGCCCTCCTATTCTCCCTCTTTCACAGAAAGTTCTGGACAGGATGGAACTCTTCTTATGGATTATATGAATATATTAAAAATAGGTAGACTATTCTTAGAGTTGAGATTGGGCAAATTGTGGCTTCTTATCTCAATCCATTCAATATGTTAATAGCAGACCAGTCTAGAGCACTTTCATATCCATCCCTTCTTTGCATGTAAGGGCTTTTGTTGGATGCTGTTTCCTGATATCTAATTGAAAATAGATAGTTGACTAGAACTATACACTCAGACCTCATTATCTGCGAGGGATAGAGGCATGGACTTGCTGTGTATACCAAGAAATTGCAGATAGCATTTCTGTGTGATCGGTTGATTGAGGCAGGTCGGATGAGATGATGGGATGAAAAACGGGTCTGGCGCCGACCTTGCAAGTATGTGGATCCATGGACAGCGAATTAGCAGATAATAAGGACTGAATGCATGTATGGGTTACAGTTTTCTCAGTTTCTTTGCTAATTTGAATACAGGATTGAGTTATTTTCATACAGAAATGAAGTACTCTGTAACAAGCCTTCTCTGAAATGCTGTGTACTCAGTCAATGCATTGTTGATTTGATCTGCTACATATTGATGTTTCTAGGGAAATGGATTTATAATAGTGGTAGTAGCTAGTTTTCTTTTTGGAAAATGTAACATTAAGATCAGAACTCCTAAGAGAATTTCTGTGATATTCAAAATTTTATTTGTAAAAATATACAGCCTTACTATCACCACCATGTTCAAAACCTCTGCCTTGATGTATACATTCTAAGATATTCTACACCCAGCATTATTAATGTGTCTCTGCAATGTACAACAGAGAGTGTATGCAATATGTACATCAAGCTTGTTCAGTGGATTGCTTTTTGTGTGTGTGTTCATGGGGTGTGGATGTCTTTATCAATCTCTGTTGCTTTCTGGTGATGTTATGGGCTACCTCTGTTTGAACAATTTTCCATGTAAGAATCATATGTCCACATTGTCCTTGAGGGAATTCAACGATTTTCACCCAGAACTGGTCATGTGTACCAAATCAGAATGGTGTATAATTTGGAAGGAAGCCTGAAATAAGTGTGATTTCTGGATGCTACTGCTTTTGTCCTACTGATGGTCATGGTTGAAGATATAATAATCCATCTAACCCAGGTGGGCTGTTGCAATGCATTCTGAAGATTATACATACTAACATCACTCTGACTGTAGTGCAGGGGATAGATATTGAGTCCAGTGGCAGAGGCACTTATTCAGAATAACAGATCAGCATGGTGCCTCAGTGGTTAGCACTGCTGCTTCACAGCACCAGGGACCCAGGTTCAGTTCCAGCCTTGGGCGACAGTCTGTGTGGAGTTTGCACATTCTCCCCATCTCTGCGTCGGTTTCCTCCCACAGTCCAAAGATGTAAGGGTTAGGTGGATTAGCCATGGGAAATGCAGGGTTACAGGGATGGAGTAGGGGTTGTGAGTCTGGGTGGGATGCTCTTCAAAGAGTTGGTGTGGACTTGTTGGGCCAAAAGGCCTGTTTCCACACTGCAGGGATTCTAAACAGGTCTCTCCTTGATGCTGTGGATTATACCAGGAGTTTGAGGAACAGTATGTTATCTGGTTCCTTGAGTCTGTTCTGTCATCCATTAGGGTCATACTTAATCTGATCTTGGCTTCAATTGCTTTCCTGCTCCTTCTAACCTTCATAGGCCAAAAATCTTTGACTAAAATCTGTCTATCTCAGCCTCAATCAGTGAGTCAGTTTTCACTGATTCCTGACGTGGAGAATTCCAAAGATTTACAACCCTCTGAGAAGCAATTCCTTGTAACTCCATGGAGTGGTCATCCCCTTATTCCATCTAGTTCTGGATTCCCGAATGAGGTGAAGCATGTTTTCATTATCTATGCTGTTATGTCACCTCAGAATCTTATATATTTCAATAAAATTACCTCTCATTCTTCTAAAACCCATAAGTATAGACTGAAACTCTCCTCAACTCAACCCCTTTATCCCAGCAATCAGCTTTCACTTGTTCGGATGAATGGTGTATATTCTCTTAAACTTAATTCTTGTTAGGTGGTGAAGAAATTTTAGAGGAGACAACCTGAGCATAGTGCATTGCCTTTGTATTTATGTGGCTGATTCAGTTCTGCTTTAGATCAATGGTAGCCTCTAAAGTCTATGATAACAATGCAGCTGAAAGTACAAGACAGCAATCTCCTGACATTCTATGAGGTGCAGATATCCATTCAAGTTCAGATGTTTGGCTGTCTTACAGGCTGGCCTGAGCTGTTTCATTTTCAGCTTCACGATTCATAACTATAGCATAACTCCAGACCTTTTTACGCAAATCCAGTGCATAATGAAATCTTTCATTTTTTTTCATTTATACATTGTGTGTCCTTTTCGTTACCTGCTGTGCTTTCCATCACTTTCACTCCCAGAAGGCTGCTAATAATTTCATTCTAGGCTGTTACGTGTTACCTTACCAGCAAGCTAATAGATGGTTTAAGAGAACGTGAAGAGTATTTCTTTCTGGTGCACTAGTTCTCTCCACTAATTACTTGGTTTGAGCCTACGTTCTACCATGTGGCAAGTAGTCCTTTGGTATCCAGTGTAATACACCAACGATATTTGCATTTTTAATGTAAAATTGATGCTGAATATCTACTAGCCTACACGACTGGACCATGAGACCAATTTTGATATGTAGCCTCAAGTATTTATACTTTAATTTCTGCAAGGCAGTTATCTTAATTCTTAAGAGGTCTGTTTTTTGAGCTATTAGTGTCACAGACAGTATTGCTATTTATTTTCCATACCTAGTTGCTCTTGAGTGTGCAGGTGAGCCTTCTTGAAATGCTGTTGTCTGGTCATGAAGGTACTCCAGCTTTCCTGTTGAGTCTGCAGTTCCAAGATTTTTGGTTCTGAAACAAATGAAATGACAATGATATATGTCCAAGCCTGGATAATGTAAAATTTAGAGGGGAACATAAGGTCCACAATATTCCCATACACTTGTGTTATTCTAAATGGTTGAGGTCATGGGTTCCTGAGGGGCTGCCAAAGTAGACTTGACAAGTTGCTGCTGTGCATAGTGCACATTGCAGCTGTAGGTTACTAATGGTGGCAGATATGTGGAAGAAAAAGTGTATTGATCAAAATTAAATAAGTGTCTCAGCTATAGAAGATAATCTAGTTCTGAAATTATCATGGAGAAAATCTAAAGCTATTTCCTTATGAATGTAATGTCAACATATCCCATGTGTTTAAATGTATTTCAAAGATTTAATGGTTTCATCACCCTGACCCTATAATAGCGTCATGGTATATCTATCTGTTTATGGAATTTTCCACAATTCTTTGATATTAACATAAATTAATGAAACATAAAATGTACTGATGTACTCCATGTTTCTTACATTTGAGCTGGTTGACCCAATTCTAGTTCATAGTTCTCAACCTGTTGCAAATTTTATGCATTTTAAGAGAATTATTTGCATTTTGCACCTGTCTTACTTAACAGGCATACTTATTTGAGAACAATTTTCCTGATTCCCATTCTTAAGTGTATTGTTTACAATTGTTTGAATAATAAGCTTGTGTTAAGGTTTTGAAATCTGTTGATGTCTACACTGTTTGGTCAAAATATTGTTTTTAAACACTGAATATAACTGATGTAAATAGATGCAGAAATTTGAGTGCATACTGATGTTACTTATTAAGGCTGCACTTTTGAGTACATTTTTATAGGGCTCTCCACTGCAATATTGATCTTCTAAATTTAGCCTTTGGCTACATCTGATGTGTATCATGCTGCATTTTATACTTGTTATCTGGCAATTACGGTAGATCTCTACGCAAAAGCTTACCTCCTGGGGAATAACTTCCAGTGATGGTGAAGTGGAATGTTGGCCATATCCTCCTTGTTTAAAAATGATGTAAATTCAGTATTTCCTCCAATGAATTTAAGAACAAAACTACTCTGATTCAGGTCTGCAATTTCAGAGGTACCTTTTGTATTTTGAAACTATGCAGTAGACGTACTTAGCTGTGCTTTTGTATTAGGGAAATGTGTGGAGTTTAGAAGGAGCTTTAGAAACTAATTTGTTAATTTGAGTTTCAATAGTGAAAATAGTGAACTCCAAACCTCTGATCATTGATGAGTGAATGTCAATGCTGCTGAATCCAAAATCTACCTGTTTGTGAAGTTTTATTCATGATTTCTATGGCTTTCAAATGTTTCCTAATGTTTTAAGAATGTAAGTTAAAGATACTAGATTCTGTTTATCTTATAAAATTTGATCCCTCTAGTAATAATTCTGCCTTGCCTGGAACTGTAATCCAAATGTTTGTCACCTTTTGTAGATGTTTCACCTGTTAACATTACCAAACTTTCAACTGCCTGCGATTCATTTTTTCCAGTAAGAGGCAACCTGGACTTCAAAATTTCCCCTGACTGTCCAATCACTGAAAAAAAAACTAGGTCATTAGTGTACAGGTTAGGGGTAGTATTGCAGTGTTGACTTTATTGACCCAAGTCAATGCAAATAAGCAGAATGCAAATCAGCTCTTTCCACACGTTCTTTCATGCAGTTAGTGTACGTTATTGTGACTTGTCTATTGTTTTGATCTTTTGAATATAGTTTGGTTGATTTAAATCCAAAGTATTCTGCTTATTGATGTCTGCGTTTTTGTAAAAACAAGAATCCGAAAATCAGAGCTGCTTATCGCTAGGTTTTTCAACTCAATGAGTTAATGTACATAAGTTCAAAGAGGAAATTGTATTGAATGACAGCATAATAAGGGTAATAATGAATCAGCAGCACTTTTTACGCTGTGCTCGATTTTTGTTTTCCATTGACTTTAGCTGACATTTGGTATTGCTCATTTTAGCATTTCTACCAGTGACTGATCCCTACCCACCTTGCCTATGTTGGGGTTAATTTGTTCTTTTTCTACATGCATATCTGAAAATGTAACCTCACTGTGTTCAGCTAATTTTCTTGTAGTGTGGAAGCCTAATACCTGTGAAGCTCCACTTATACTGCTACTAAATATAATTTTTGCCACTTACTGCATTTGGCTGAAATTTGCATAATACTGAATCCAGTCTGAGCTCTGCTCTGCATTCCAATGGCTTCCAGACTGAAGCTTTTATCACTAAGGCCATTGTCTCTAACTTCCTTCGAGTCCAGAAAAATATTATGTTGTTTCATTTTCTACCTAAATTTGTTATAATCTTCAAAGGTGCAGTCTTTGTGGCTTCATGCTAGCTGCTTTATATTTCATTTCAGTTCATTGAGAACAGCAATTTGAATTAACATTCGAGGATCAAAAAATGTCAGAAAACCCTATAACATTTCAGTAGTATTTAGATATTCAATTTCATTGCTGTAGCCTCCAGGGCTATGGGCCAAGAGCTGAAAAATGGGATTAGTGTAGTCAGAACTTTGGGCCAAATGGCCTCAGGTGCTGTAAACATTTTAGTCTATTTTTTTGTGGTGGGGTCTATCCAAACAACAGTGCATATTTCAGTTTTGGGTAGTCTAAGATATTGCTTCATTTTTATGCTAGAGATGACTGTCTAACTTGAAGTAATTACTTTTTATACAAAATCTACATTTATTGGTTGCTGAAGAAAAAGTAGGTGCATGACTGCATGTAATTTAGGGAATAAGCTTTCATTTCAAAAAGTATAAAACTTTTTTTTATGTAAAAAGAAATGTAGTTATAGTCGTTTACTTCACTAAACAGAGGTCTTAATTAGTTTTAACAAATGGTCATGCATGAAGCCTATTTGAGTTGTTATTTCTGTTCTGCTCTTCCTTTGTCCAAAAATGATGCAATATTAGATTTTAGGAGACAACAGTGGTTTTAAGTTTCTTTCTTTAAATATTTTAAATGTGTAAAAGTTGTTGAGGAATGTGTATTAAATATTGGCAAGTGCAGACTAAGGGGTTTTTAGAAGTATTATGACAGACCATTGTCATTCACTATAATCGAACAAGAATACATTTCTACACTTTGTCTGTTGTTGCAAAGTGACCTGTATCACAATGCTTTGAATGTATTTTTTCTTTAGTTATCTTGTTTTATAATCTGTTATTTGTCGTCCATATTCATAAAAGATAAAAAAAATCTTGATGCAACAGGCTAGCATTTACGTTGTTCTCAAAGTTAAGTATCTCAGAAGTCAATGTTTTATTAATTCAAGGGAAAACATGTAATGCATTTGGTTGCCACAGAGCTTAAATATATAAAACAATTGTAATATTTTGTGAAATTTTGATAATGAGAATTATGGTAACTTTCTAATGAATGTATTGGAATATTTGCAAACAAGATTTTACCATTAAAAAATTTTAAGTTGTGTGCATTTTAAAAACTTTATATTTGTCTTACTTATTAAACTTCCAGTTTTGCAATGATTGTAGTTAATTATTTAACTATTTTTGCTGACTGCGATTGAGAAAAAATTATGGCACTATTTTACACACAGTTAAAAATAGTTAACTGATGACATTTCAATTCTGCTGCCTTTTATTTCCCAACATTCTCATCTTGCTTGTCCATGAGCACTGGTAGGCGGTTGGTATTTCACCCAGTTACAATTTTTTTAAGAGCCTGTTAGTCTATTGGACATCACAACTAAGCTACTTCATATCAAATCGCTCTCACATTCCTAGCAGACATCATTGGAGCTAACACTTAGAATTTTCATAGAAAATTCTTTGAAGCAGGCCCTTCAGCCCATCAATTCCAAACCGACCCTCCAAACAACATCTCACCCAGACACATCCCCCTACCCTATCCCTGTAACTTTGCATTTTCCATGGCTAATCCATCTAGCTTGCACATCCCTGAACGCTACGGGCAATTTAGCATGGCCAGTCCACCTAACCTACACATCTTTGGACTGTAGGAGGAAACTGGAGCACCCAGAGGAAACCCACACAGACATGGTCCACACAGACAGTCGCCAAAGGGTGAAATTGAACCACTAAGCCACCGGTCTGCCCACTAGACTTTTGTTCCTCTGCCACTTTTTGCCCTTGCTTTTGAGGCTTGAAATTCTTCGATCAGTTATTGTATCAGAGTCCTCTTAGGTGAGGTTAATTAATCCTGATTGAATTTGGCAGCCTGGTCAGTATGGCCAACTTACATGTAACTGGCCCATTTGGTTAACTGTCTTTGGTCTATAGTTGCCATTTTTGTCATTGGAAGATGTGCCGAAATGTAACCATGGAAATGTGAATTGAATGTCTTTACTGCGGCAAAAAACATTGCCAAAACCTATGAAAAGCAAGGAGATAGTCCCAATAAAAAAAAGTTTTCAGTTGCTTTGGCAACCTGCATGTTCTATTCTGGAGTAGGAGAGGTTCAGCCATATGATGGAAAGACAGCTGGACTAGGAATTTGCCTCATTCCACAACCTGCCATTGGTGTGTATTGGAAAGTTTTGCAGGTTACTAATCAAATTGTTGCATCGTATAGGAATATGCCTTCATAGTCCATCAAGTTCTGGGATGGGACTCCAACCTGAAGCTTCTGACCAGTGAAGCAGGTATGCTACCACCTCATCATAAGACCTTTGATCAGTGGTTTTAGTGAACTGTGTAGGACATAGGAATAGGAGCAGGCCATTTATCCCCTCGAGCCTGTTCTGCCATTCAATAAGATCATGGTTGATACGTGGCCTAACTCTCGGTACCTGCCTTTGGCCCATATCCCTTTATTAAACAAAAATGTATCTATCTCACAGTACTCCAAGTGGGGTCTAACCAGGGTTTTGTATAACTGCAGCATAATGTCTGCATGCTTATACTGCAGGACTCTAGATAAAAAGGCCAGCATTCCATTAACTTAATTATTTTCTGCACCTGTTTGTGACATTTTAAAGAGCTATGCACCTCAGCCCCCAAGTTTCTAAGACATCCGCTTTAGTTAACTTTGTTCAGTCGAAAGTACTGTTTCTTCAGTCCAAAGTGGATAAACCCTTGCTTACACTGAACTCCCATCTGCTGCAGTTTTGCCCATTTACTTAATTTGTCAATATCCCTTTCATAGATTTGTATGAAATTACAATAGCCAGAAATAGTTTTAAAGTAACCTTTTTCTTTCTGTTGAGTTTTGGATGGGTATAGTAGAAGAGGAAGAAGCATAATAAGGTATTTACTTTTTAGCAGTTTGGCCAATATTGTACTGTGTTCATAAAATATTTGCTTGATGAAATTTGTCAGTTTTTGAGACCCTGCTTTATTCCTTTTTTTGCTGTTAACCTGAAACTCATTCGTTTTGAGTCTGAGCATCCAACGAAATCTGAGATTTAGGACAGATTTGTTTCCACTTCTATTCTCCGTTGATAAAAGAAATTCATCTGGTATACTCCTTTGATCAGAATTTTTTAAAGGCAACCAATTTTGCCACCATTGATTTTTGAATGGTAAGTCGATCAGAATGTATATTGCACCCAGAAGCAATATTTGCCACTGTGACCTTCAAGGTCAAACGTTAGATGCTTTAAAGTGGTATTTCTTGTTTTATGGTGGGACATTTTTGACATGATGTTCAGTCTTTAGGAAGCTCTTGAAAGAATTGTGAAAGTGTTTTTTTGAAAGAGTTCTGAAAATAAAGATGAACTGGGTTAACTAAATCACCTGGGTAGACAAACAGGAAGCTGGGAGAACACAGCAGGCCAGGCAGCATCTGGAGGAAAGGAGCTGTCAACATTTCGGGTATTACTCTTCCTCAGGACTGGATATGGGGTGAAGGTGAGTTACAGATAGAGAGGTGGAGGCAGAATGGTGGTTATAGTGATGGGAACATTTTCTCCCTATTTTCTTTGTCCAGACTTCTCTCATGATTTTGAATACTTAATCAGACTCTACCCAGCCCCGCCCCATTCCAAGGAGAATATTTCCTGCTTCTCCAATCAAGCTTCATAACTTTATAATTCCTCATCTTTAGAACTATTCTCGTAAACTTCTTGTGCACTTTCTTTAAGGCCTTCACATCCTTACTGAAGTACAGTGCTCAGAACTGGACACAATACTCCAGCTGAGGCTGTTAACAAGTTTTGTTATGGTGAAATAAATTTGATGTAATCTCATTGCTGTTGTACTCTATGCCTCTGTTAATAAAGTCCAGGATACTGTTTGCTCTATTAACTATTCTCTGAACCTGTTCTGTCACCTTTAATGACATATGTACACATAGACCTAGGACTGTCTGCTGCTACAACTTCAATTAGTTTTTATTGACGAAGAATAGTTTTCATTTCGAAGAATGTTTTTAGTAACAAAAAAAATCACCTCGCAATTCTCTGCATAAACTGATCTACTTTCAATAATTTTGAAATTGTGCTCTATACCCCAAGTTCTAAATAATTGAAGTATATCAGGTAAAGCAAGAGTTCAGCCACTGGTTTCGGAGGGACTCCACTGCAAACCATCCTCTCATTCCATCCCTGAAAAGCATCCATCTATTAGGACTCCCTGATTCTCAACTTGCAGCCAGTTTTGTATGTGTTTTGCTACCGGACATTATTTCCACAATCTCTAGCTTTGCTTACAAGTCTGTTGTATGGCACTATATCAAATGCCTTCTGAAAGTCTGTATACACTATGTAAACAACATTGCTCTGATCAATCCTCTGTGTTACTTCTTCAAAGTCTTCAGTAATTTAATTAAACTTCACTCCCCTTGAAAAAAATCTATACTGGAATTTAAGTTGGATGAATGCAAGGTATTGCATTTTGGTAAAACAAAGAAGAGCAGGACTTGTACAATTAATGGTAGGTCCCTGGGGAATGTTGTAGAACAAAGAGACCTAGGAATTCAGGTATCATAATTCTTCAAATTTTGTGTCACAAGAAGACATTTAGCATGCTTACGTTCATTGCTCAGACATTTTGAGTAAGAGTTGGGACGTCATGTTAAGGTTGTACAGGTCGTCACTGAGGCCTCTTCTGGAGTACTGTGTATAGTTCTGGTCACCCTGCTAATAGGAAGGATCTTATTAAATTGGAAAGGGTTCAGAAAAGATTTACCAGTTTGAGTTATAAAAATGGGTTGGATAGGCCAGGACTTTTTTTAACTGGAGCATAGGAGGTTGAGGGGGTGACTATATTGAGGTTTATAAAACCATGAGGACCATAGATAAGGTGAATACAAAGGGTTTTTTCCCCGAGGGTGGGTGAGCTCTAAACTATGAGGCATCCTTTTAAGGTGAGAGGAGAAAGATTTAAAAAGGACATGAGGGGCAATTTCTTTTTTACACAGAGTGGTTTGTGTATGAAATGAACTGCCAGAGGAAGTGATGGGTGCAGGTACAGTTACAATGTTTAAAAGACATTTGGATTAGTATATAAATAGGAAAAGTTTGGAAGGATATGGGCCAACCAGTGGCAATTGGGACAAGTTTAGTTTGGAAACATGGTTGGAGTAGACTAGTTGGACTGAAGGGTCTGTTTCCATATGGTATCGCTCTAAGCATTGTTGCGAAGTTGGTATAGTACTTGTGAATTGAAGGCAGGACATTAGAATTGTTTGTAAAATGATAGGGCGGGGGGAAGGGTGTATGGTCCCTTTTAAAGG